TCCTTTACTGAAGAGATGGTTCCAACCTTAAGGGTACTGGCTTCTCTTGCAGAAGACCCACATTCAATTCTCAGAACCCCTATGGTGACTCACAGCCACCTGTAACTCCAGTTCCAGGGGATATGCCACCTTCTTCTGGTCTCCAAGGGCACTGTGTGCACATGGTTTACATACATGCAGGCAAACATTCCATATCCATAAAACAAAAATAAATATTTCAGAGAGAAAAAAGCATAGCCTGAGGGTGGATGGAAACAAGGAACTGCTCTAAAGAAGAGGGAGGGGCAGAGCCAGGACCAGGATGACAGAAAAATGGATGAAAGAATCAATCTGGCCGGGAGGTGGTGGCACATGCCTTTAATCCCAGCACTTGGGAGGCAGAGGCAGGCGGATTTCTGAGTTCGAGAGTTCGAGGCTAGCCTGGTCTACAGAGTGAGCTCCAGGACAGCCAGGGCTACACAGAGAAACCCTGTCTCGAAAAAACAAAAAACAAAACGAAAGAATCAATCTGGACAGTGAAGTGGGGGAGAGGGGGAACTGGCTAATGAATTCCTCCTCCAAAAGAATTTGGAGCATCCTGAAACCTTGTTACTTTTCAGGATCCTAAGATGAAGATACTCCCTGGGACAATCTGGTTTGTTCAGCGTAAACACAGGTGTCTCAACTGTTGAGAGGTAGAAAACAAGTAACTTCAGAAAATATTACATCACTGTCGGAGTTTTTATTGTGTTTGTTTGTTTGTCTGTATTGAGACAGGATCTGATACAACTCGGTCTGGTCTCAAACTGGTTGTGTAGCCAAGGACGACCTTGAACCCTTGATCCTCCTACCTCCAAACCTTCAAATGCTGGCCCTATAGGTATGCACCACCACACCGATCTTAACACAGCTGTCTTTGAGCGTGGAGGTCAACTGTGGGAGTTAGTTCTCTCCAGCATGTGGGTCCTAGGCATGGAACTCAAGTCATCAGGCTTGGCAGCAAGCCCTCTTACCTTTGTTAGACAGCAGGACACACAAACATACACAAGCCCCTCCCCCTAGCCTGCACTTGGACCCATTTCCTTGGCTTCTCTGTGGCCATGGTTCCCATCCACTCTCAGTCTATGCTTCTTTCTCTCTCAAATATCTATTTATTTTTATTTAATGGATATGAATGTTTGCCTGAATGTATGCGGACCATGTGCACACAATGCCCTTGGAGATCAGAAGAGAGTGGCATATCCCCTGGAACTGGAGTTCCAGGTGGCTATGAGTCACCACACATGTTCACAGAGGTGGAACATATTACCAATAAGAGGTGATTTTAGCTTCTGGATATGCCTCTGGCAGTAACATGGACCTTTTTGAGAAGGAGCCCAGCCCAGGATGCTTCCAGCATTTTTACTTGTCTTTCTTTCTTTTCCATTGCTCTGATAAAATATCCTGACAAAATCATAAAAAGGGGGCCAGCACAAGAGCATCAGATCTTCAGGAACTGGAGTTACAGATGGTTCCGAGCCACCATGTGGATAGCAAAAATTGAACCCCAGTCCTGTAGAAGAACAGCCAGGGCTCCTAATGGATGAAATAACTCTCAAGCCCCGCCCCCCACCAAGTGCTTGCTTTTAAATGGAGCTCCTCTACTTGAATAGGTAGCTCACTGTGAAAGCAAGAGGCATGCTTTAAAATGTCCTGGGCTAGGTTCAGATGGCATACCCAGAGCAGGATGTGGGATCATGTTCCTCACTAGCTGTGTGCTCCATGTGCTTTGACTCACTTGGGACGACTGAGCTAGCCGGCCTAGCTTCTCTCTGATCCTGAGAATGAAACTGTGTCTCAAAAATCGTATTAATGATTGAGTCATAATTTCTTTTTCCTTTTTTTTTTTTTCCCCTCTCAGATTGTAGACAAGTGCTCTGCAACTCAGCTATACCCACACCCTTGGTATTTCAATGCTCAGTGCCAGAGTTTCAGCAAAGAATTCACAAAGTTCTGGGTATGGTGGCACATGCCTTTTATGCCAGCACTTTAGAGGCCGAGGCAGGCAGATCTCTTTGAGTTGAAGGTCAACCTGGAGTTTCAGGCCAGCCAAGATTATATAGTGAGACCCTGTCTTAACCTCCAACTCCAACAAAAGACTTTATGAGCTTTGTTTTGTTTTGTTTTCCTTTCTGCATAATATCTGCAAATCAATAAGGAAGTGAGTGGTTCTGCAATTAATTTTCATGATCAGACTTGACTGTTCGGAGCAGCCATGAAAGTACATTTCTAAGATGTTTAACAGGGAAGAGAAGTCTCACCCTCTAAGGCAGTAGTTCTTCACCTTTCTAATGCCACAGCCCTTTAGATGATGCCCCCCAGCTTAAAATTATTTCGTTGCTGCTACTTTATAACTGTAATTTGCTAACCATTATGAATCTGATGTATCATGATGTAAGTATCTGATATGCAGGATATCTCGTGTTAGCGTGTTAGACTCCTAAAGGGGTGGAGACCCACAGGCTGAGAATCACTGCTCTAAGATTGAACTCAATGGGAAAAAGAAGTAAGCTGAGCAGCTTGTGTCCCTCAGCTTCCTGACTCCAGATGCAGTGTGGTCAGCCACCTGCTGCTCGCCTTCCTCTCCAAGACGGCCTGGCCTCTCAAACCAAGAGCCAAAACACCAAAACGGAAACCTAAAAAGCTCTCTTCCTTAGGTTGCTTTTGTCATGTATTTCCTCATGGCAAAGAGAAAAGTAACTAATACAATACTTAATGTATTTGTGCTTCTGGCTTTAATACAGTGTTACAATATTGCAATATTTTAAAACAAGGCTTCACTAACTTGCCGATGAGATGATATGTAAAAGGTCTCCCCAAAAGAACAATACTAGTGTTGTCTTTATTTTTTCTCTTTCCTACTTCTTTTTCTTCCTCCCCCTTTCAGAGGCAAGTTCTCATGTACCCTGAGCTGTCTTTAAACTGGCATGTAACCAAGAATTACTGCCTTTTGATTTTTTTTTTTGCCTCTGCCCCCTAGTGCTGGAATTAAAGGCTACCCAGTAGCCGCAGTGGCAGGGACTAAAGCCAATGCCTTGTGCATGCTAGGCAAACACTTTACCAACAGAACTCCAGTTCGAGCCAAGGATACTACATAATTTTTAATTATGTTTATTTTGTTTATTGTGTATGTGTGTGGGTATATGAGTGGGTCAGTCGGCTCTGCCCTTCCATCATGTGGGATGTGAGACAGAACACAGGCTGTCAATCTCAGCAGAAAGACCCTTTACCCACCAAGCCAGCTCTCTGGCCTCAAGAACGCTATTTGTATTTGGAGTCAGGGACTCACTATGTAGTCTTGGCAGGCCCGGAACTCACTGTGTAGACAAGTCTGGCCTCTAAACCACAGAGATCCAGCTGCCTCTGCCTCCTAAGTGCTGGGATTGAAGACATGCACGATACCTGGCAGAATACTACATTTTTTAATTAAAAAAAAGTATATTATGACTAGAGAGATGGCTCAGCAGTTAAGGGCATTTGCTGCTCTTTCAGAGAACTCAACTTTGGTTCCCAACACCCATTTGGCACAATTGTCTGTAATCCCAGTTCTAAGGGATTCAACACTCTATTCTGACCTCCTTTATACACACACACACACACAGTAAAAAAAATAATCTTTTTAAAAAATTGCTATTACCAATCTCCACTATCTTTTGGAGTAGTAGTTCTCCATCTTCCTAATGCTACGACCCTTTAATACTGTTTTTCATGTTTTGGTGACCCCAACCATAAAATTATTTCATTTCTCTGAGCATGTTGGCACACACATTTAATCCCAGTACTCGGGAGGCAGAGACAGGCAGATCTCTGATTTCAAGGCCAGCCTAGTCTGTACAGAGTGAACTACATAGAGAAACCCTGCCTCAAAAAAATTATTGTTACTGCTTCATAACTGTAATTTTGCTACTGTTATGAATCATAATGTAAATATCTGATATGAGATACCCAAGAGGTCATACCTACAGGTTGAGAACCACTGCTTTGGGATCGTGGACCCAAGTATTCTTTAGTAAATAGAGCACCGGCAAAGCCAAGTGCAGAGTTCCTCAAGGCAACAGAGTCATGGTCAAGTTGTCTGCTCGGTAACAATGTTAATAAATCACAGGTTAAGAGTTAAGTTTGGGCCTGGGCATGTACTTAGTTGACTGTGTCTGCCTGGCATGCAAAAGGCCCCTGGATTCAATTCCCAGCACCACATAAATCACAAGTATGAATACACTTGTCATCCCAATACTTGGGAAGAAGAGGCAAGAGGATACAAAAGTCAAGGTCATCCTTAGACAAGGTTGAAGTCAGTCTGGAATATATGAGACTTACATAAAAAATAACACTAAGGGCTGGAGAGGTGGCTCAGTGGTTAAGAGCACTGGTTGCTCTTCCAGAGGTCCTAAGTTCAATTCCCAGCAATCACATGGTGGCTCACAACCATCTGTAATGGGGATCTGATGCCCTCTTCTGGTGTGTCTGAAGATAGTGACAGTGTACTCACATACATGAAATAAATAAATATATCTTTAAAAAAAAGATTAAATAAATAAAATGTTAAAATATTAAATAAATTAAATAAATTAAATGCCAAAAGAGTTCTGCCATGGTTGCACATGCCTATAATTCAGCACTCTGGATACTGAGGCAGGAGAATGTCCAAGTTCAAGGTGCCTGGAGAATGCAGCCAGATTGAGTGTATAGCAAATCCCCATCTATAAACAAACAGATAAACAAAAATAATGATAAAAATAAAATCAATTTATTTAAAAATTGTATTACATTTATCGTATGTGAATGTGTGTGTGTGCAAGAATGTGCAGGTGCACATGTGCAGAAGCATGTATGGGGTGGTGGTCAGAGGACAACTTGCAGGAGTCAGCTCTCTTCTTCTACGGTAGGTCCAACTCAGGCCATCAGGTTTGTCAGCAAACTGCCTTACCCACTGAGCCATCTTGCCAGTCCAAAACTAACTTATTAAGAAAAGGAAGGGGGAGCCTTTGGAGAGATGTCTTTTGTTTGTTTTTTGTTTGTTTTTTTTTTTTGTGGAGAGATGTCTTAATGGATAAAACTCTGGGTACACAAATGTGAGGATCAGAAATCTCTAGTATCCATGTAAATTCGGGGTACATATGGGAGCCTGCCTGTAATTCGAGCACTCCAGAGGCAGACAGGGGATCCCTAAAGCAAGCTAGACTAGCAAATATGCAAGCTCTGGGTAGAGATAAGAGTCTGCCTCCATACATTAGATGAAGAGTGATCAAAAACACTCAGAGCCAACCTCTGGTCTCCACACACAGGCACACACATACATGCAAACATGCATACGCATACACACCATACACACAGAGGCACACAGATAATATGCAAAAATGCATAGACCCTCACACACACCCCAACACACACAGACACATACAAATTGAAGGAGGGAGATTCTGGACTGTTCATCTTTTAGGAATGTGTCAGCAATCAAACTGTTCCCTGACCCTGTCCTCTGCTCACAGAGCCCTGAACTGGTCTAAGCTGGTACAGTCATTGTTCAGACCGGTGGTGTGGGCTTCCTAGATGACAGAATTCTTCTCCTTCCCACGACACAATGAGGAGGCCAGACTCAGAGCAGGAGATAGGGGCACACCTGGCGTCTACATGCCTGGGTGTTTCCTCGACATCTACAGGCTACAAGTGAGAGACAGCCAGGTTCTCTGCAAAAGTGGCTGTAAAGGTGGGATGGGGTGGCTCCAGAGCTTTTCACTACATATACCTTGTGGATCCAACTAACCATCTCTTCCTCACACAGAAGAGGTCAGCCCACAGGACCACAGAAAAATCCCAAACCAGTCTCCAGACCCAGCCAGGGCTCAGTGTGCAAAACAACAACAACAACAACAACAACAAAAAGCATTTATAAGCAGGAATTCTGTCCAGCATACAGTGCAAAGGATCCTTGCTACACTCTGTAGTAAGGATCCACACAAGCACAGGAGCTGAGGCCACACCCAGAAACAGTCCTTTCCAACTCATTCTTTTGTTGCCTAGGAGGCCCGAGGTCATCCCAGGACTGGCCACCAGGGGGCAGACGTGTTCCTTCACCTCTCCAGTCTACTGCTGCAGAGACCTAACAAGTCTGTCCCAAGTGTCCAATATCTTGATTCCAGAGTGCTGAGCTTTTTAAATCTTCATGGTGACAACTGGTCTCCTCTACCAAGTTCATATCCAGTGGAATCTGTGAACATGACATCCAAGCACCTGAGACTGAACTTGTCTCTTAAGGAGTCTCCTGAACCCTTTCCTTCCAGGCATGCTAGGGAAGCAGGTTGGTTAGAAAATGGGCATGAATCCTTTGGCAAAATAGCTGGCTTCAGCTGTTTCCGGGTGGGCCCTTCAACCGATGCCATCAGCTGTTCTAACTCACAGTGCATAACCCGGACATGCACTTGGGGTCACAGCGAGTACAGTACCAAGCAGTTGGGGAGTTAGAGGGAGTGCTCCAGGCTGAGGTAGGAAGAGATGGGTGGCTGCAGGGGCCTGGGAACTCTACAGTCCCTGAGATTGAAGGTGTGGCCTTGGAAGGGCTCATTAGAAGGCCAGGAGGAGGAGCTCCAGCCCTCTGTATGCCCACAGGAGTAAAAGTCAAAGGCAGAGGATGCAAACCACACGGGGGCAGGCTGTGCTGTCTGCTGTTTTGTATGTGTAGCTGAGGATCAAACTCAGGGCATGCTAAAAGCACACAGGATCACTGAGCTACAGCCCCAACACCCTATAACAGATCAATCCTGCCTGCTGGGGCCTCTGATTCTTGCATCAAAAGGACTGCAGTGGGTTTGGAGAGAGTTCTTCCTAAGAGTGTAGCACTCATCCAAAGGGTGTCCATGGCCACACTTCCTCCTACCTGCTGAGACCGCCCTGCAGTGTCAGCATTCAGGCTGAAGAACTGTGCTATCTTTCTCCAAGCATATGGAAGAGGATGTTAACTCTTTAGGAGGGAAAGATTCTGGGGCCCCTCAGAAGCAAGAATCAGGCTAGAGCCCAGGAGATCCAGAGGGTCACAGAAGAGCAAGGACTTCCTGGGACTGCCCCATAAAACACCATGGCAATTTTTGAGGACTCTAGCTGCCTCAGCCCTCACTTGACCTGCAACTGGGACTGTGGTGACCACTAAGGGAAATGAGCCCAGCAAAAGTCATGAAGTCTCATGGGTTCAGGGTTGAGGAGGTCCCTTTGCAGGGTGTTACCCCTGTCAGGGGTCAGGCCACTTTGACTGCAATATGATCATACCAGCCTGGTTGGCCGGGCTTCATGCCTACATCGGGCACACCAAGGGGCAAGGGCTTCTCATGGCTCTGCAGTGTCTCTGTGGCCTCCCACTGGGACTGAGAAGGACACTCCTCCTGGGAGAAGGGGACCTGCTCGTCCTTTGGGGATCCTGATGGGTTGGCATCTGGGTCTCCCACCATGGTGCTGGCTTGGGAAGAGCATCGAGAACTGTGGTCAGAGCTACTACAGACGTTCACGATGCAGGTGACGTTGACATGGGTCCCGTGGCTGCCATGGGAAGAATCTGTGAAGCACAAGATGGAAGGGTGAGTCTGAGGATCTTGGAGTCAGGGTGTCTTTGCAGCTTGCTTCTTGTCCCAGGGCCAGGCTAGGATTGTGGGAAAGAGCAACAGGCCAAGGGTCAAAAGGCTAAAGATCCTGGCTCACCTCGACTATGGCAGCAGATGCATCACCCTTATGTACCTTAGTTTGCTCACTTCCCAGCTGCCTGGCCCACTCTCCCTACTGCTGTCCGGAGACAAAAGTACTTCAAGAAGAACAAACCCTTGGGCTGAAGATCTGGCTCAGTTAGTAAGGAGTTTGTCTTGCAAGCTTAAGGACCTAAATTCAATTCCCTGAGATCCCACATAAAGAGGCTGGGCATAGTGGCACACACTTGTGACCTCAGTCTTTGGGAGGCAGAGAAAGGGAGATTTCAGGGTTTTCAGGCCAACCAACCAAATCTAACTGGTGGACTCCAAGCCAAAGAGAAACTGTCTTAAAGGAGGTAGATGGGGTTCCTAAGGATGTCACCTGAGGTGGTCCTCTGCCTTCCACAGACACATGGACTCATTAGCATATCTGTACTGTATGTGTGTGGGGGGGGAGAAAGGGAGAGAGAGAAGGGCGGGCGAGAGGGAGGGAGGGAGGGAGAGAGAGAGAAAGAGAAAGAGACAGAACAATGTGCTGGAACAGAGAACCTAGGATGTGAGCAGGAAGCAGTTACAGAAGATTGTCCATGGCCAGGTCTGTAAAGAATGTTCCCCATGACCACTGAAAGACCAAGTGCTAAATGGAACAAAACTCACATTTTGATTTTGGTCATGATAGCATTTTAAGTGGATTGACTGACAACACTTAAAATTTAGGGGTTGGCATTTTAAAGCTCATCTACCGTATACAAGGAGTTTGATCCCTACCACAGGATATAGAGAAGCAGACACCACGGACAAAACAGGTATCAGGGACAGTCCATCCATCATCCAGCCTGGCCTCTGTGGGCTTCTAAGTTTCCTAAGTTGGTGAGCAGTGAACGCCAGACTAGCAGAGGGTAGGTAGACATACATTATTCCCAAATGTCAGCTGCAGTGCAATTGCTCTTGCTACTGCAGGTAGATCTGTAGAACCTGCCGGGGCTCATATCGGTAGCTGCTGTCTAGTCATCCTGGCTCCTGCCTCTTGGAAACTGGGACTCAAGGGGAGCTTGGGTTAGGACAGAGCCAACCAGTCCATTCAGAATAGCCTTGAATATATCAGTCAGAAGGAGATCTGGAATCAAGGGACCACAAAGAAACCTCTATCCTAGGCCTCAACAGCACCCAAACGTCATTTGAAGTTACCATGACCTTTGCATGTCATGAACAAGACATTATGGGGGTGAGTGGGGCGCAGTTCTGGGGTTACAGGCTCCCACGGTAGAGGGAGGTGTTGATGGGAGAGGAGCAGAGATACAGAACACCTGGGAAAAGAAAGAAGAGGGGACAGAAGTCAGAGGAGAAAGGGAATAGACATTCTCAGGGACCAAGGAAGAAGCCACAGTGGAATATCATGGAAAGAGGGAAGTCATGAAAGACGAACTCATGTTTCTATTTGAGCACACATATTCACTCAACAAATGTTGAGAGCCATCTGTTCTGTTCCAGGCCGGGCTCAGGGACTCCTCAGATTGTATCGAGGAGCCCTGACAAGTCACCACATGCTGGTGAGACTGGGGCTCTGATGGCACAAGAAGCAGACACTGGGACTCCTGTGGGCAGGGAGACAGCAGGGGTGCTGCAGGCAGAGAAGCTTGCACAGGCACGAGCAAGCACAGGGCACGGCAGTCAGGGCCGCAACAGAACGTGGGTGTTGGAGGAGGCTGGGTGTGGGAGGCAGTGTGGTCTTGGCTGTCAATCCCTTGTCAGGTGTCAATGTGGGCACAAAGCCACAGTCTGTCACTGACAATGCTAAGGAGGCACGTGGCTCATCACCAGATGAGGAAATGGGATTTAGGAGCCTCCTTGGATTCTCATGGCCCCCAGGCCTTTGGGCTGCTCTGGGTGAATGACCAAGTTCAGGTTCATGTTTACTTCCTATTGCCCCACTAACTAGTGCTGCTGGGGGAGAGGGACAAAGGCCTGTACTCTTGACCTTTCCACTACAAACCAAGGGAAATCTCAAAGTTCTTGGGAAAGTGACAAGGGACTGACTCCATCGTAGGAACAAGAAATACCAACAGTGTTACAATTATAGGTTATATGTAGGGTAAGATGCAGACCGAGTAAATGCAACAGGTTCACACATCGTGCCTTTGACCCAAAGTGACCATCATCAGTGAGCTACAGTGAACAGAACCCCAGAAGAACGGGGCTGGAGAGGTGGCTCAGCAGCTAAGAGCACTTGTTGCTCTTTCAGAGGAGTTGGGTTTGATTCCTAACACCCACACGGCACTTCACAACCATCTGTACCTCCAGTTCCAGGAGATCTGACACCCTCTTCTGGCCTCTACAGACACAATGTACCCCCATGGTGCACAGGCTTGCATGCAGGTAAAATACCCATACACATAAAATATGTTTAAAGACCCCTGAAGGAAGTGTTTCATTCATCTTCCAGTTCCGGGGCTCTGAAGCTCACAGTGCAGAGCTGACTCCTGGAGCTTGGGTACACTAGCTATGTGCTGTTAACAAGGTGATTGATCTTTCTGGGCCTCAATTTCCTCATCTGGAAAATGGGGTGGTAATAGTAACTATCTCTTAGAGTTGCCACACAGGTTTGGTTCAGGTAAGGCACCCAGGACAATGACTGGTAGGTCACATTTCTCTAGGGAGCATTAGCTTATAAAACTGGACAGGCCAAGCAGGGCATGGTGGCACATGCCTTTAATCCAAGTACTCAGGAGGTAAAGGCAGATGGAGCTCTGAGTTCAAGGTCAGTCTAGTCTACAAAGCAAGTTCCAGGACAGCCTTAGGCTACACAGGGAAACCTTGTCTCAAATAAATGCAAACAATCAAAAAATCTAGCCAGACCAGTGCTAGGCCTAGGGATGTAAGCAGAATGTGGCTTTGGGGAATCATTCAGGCCACTGAAGGGCAGAAGACAGGTAATCCTGTGGAAAGGGGTCATGGCCTTGTGGATCTCTGAACAAAGGCCACAGGCCAGGGATGACAACATGGAAGGGTTCAGGATCACTCCTCACCTGATATGGGAGACTTGAAAAGACAAAGCGGGGAGTGTCTGCAGAAGAATGAGCTAGTGAGGTGACCAACATAGGTGGCGCTGAAGCTAGATGTCTGAAGTGGCTGGACTGTACCTGAGCTAGGACTAGGAAGTCAGCCAGGGGCAGCCAAGGGCGGCTCCACAGCTCCGGGACACCAAAAGAGATTAGGCAAGGGATACACGTGAACCTAACTCAAGGTTTTACAACTTGGTATTGGTGGGAACATGACACACATATTCTGTGGATGCTGTACTTAGCACTGTGAGCCTGGACCTTTTTCACAACTAGTGAAATGCAATAGGATCCTCTCCCAAGACACTGGGCAGTGGGTCAGAGTCACTCAGTTATCATGGCCACCAGGGGTTAAAAGCACTTTCCTCTTGGGTTATTTTCAACCAGTAGGTGGAGAACCAGCTATCTGCACAGAGCATGAGGGAGATGACTGCTTCCTGCCTTTCACCTGAACTCCTGGAGCCGGCACAGGCCTCCTGAGACCCTTGGGCCTCTGCTGTGACTCTTGCTTGGGGATGGCCCCCAGGGGGTGCCTTCCTGTCCCCAGCGCTGGCTGAGCTCTCCAGGGAGCTGCTGCTGGAACTGGGTGCTGTGGTCAACAGGTGCTGCTGCTCCAGGCCTATGGCATCCTGGGACTTCTCATCAGGCAGATGAGGCTGGGAGGAAAAGGGAGACTGTTAATCCATTGGCCAGTGTCTTTGCTCTCCTTGTCTCCCCTGTCACCCACACTCTACAGCTTACACATTTCTGCCCACGCTACACTTTTCCACACAAGGGACCAAAGGTTTTCAATCTCAGTCCACACAAGGAAGTGGAAAAAGTGACTTTCTGGAACACGGGGAGATGTGTCACCAGCCTGGCAGCTAAGAGATGAATTCTGAATCCAGACACCCGAGTATAAAGTTTATAACTCTACCACTCACTGGCTATGTGACCTTGAAAAGGTTACCCCTAACCTTTCTGGGCCTCCATGTTTCCTTGTATAAAGGAAGAATTATAGCTTATGTCCTTGGGTTGCTGTCAAAACTAAACAGCTAGGGATTTCAATAACGGTGGTACTGTGGGCCCCACACAGGACACTGTTTGTAAGAATTTGACAGGGGCTAGGTTTGATGGCATACACCTTTAATCTCAGCGATCGGGAGGCACCTTCAGGTAGTTCTCCATGAGTTCAAGGCCAACCTAGTCTGCAGAGAGAGTTCTAGAACATCCAAGGCTACACAGAGAAATGCTGTCTTGAAAATCAACAACAACAACAAAAAGAACTTGGCATAGGTACTCTGCACAAACTGGTACAGTCTGCCAGCCAGTAATGATACTCATGTTTTCAAATGGTCCAACTTTGATTTAAAAGACATTAACATTTCTCGTTTTAAAAGTAAATCTTACTTTTTTTTTTTTTTGGTTTTTCGAGACAGGGTTTCTCTGTGTTGCTCTGTCTGTCCTGGAACTCACTCTGTAGACCAGGCTGGCCTCGAACTCAGAAATCCGCCTGTCTCTGCCTCCCAAGTGCTGGGATTAAAGGCCTGCGCCACCACCGCCCAGCTAAATCTTACTTTTTATTTTTAATTGTGTGTATACATTTGTGTCTTAGTGTGGGTAGGTACACGAGTGTGCGGATGTCTTTGGAGGATGGAGAGGGGCATCAGATCCCCTGGAACTGATGGTTGCAAGGTGGTTGCCAGCCATCCGATGTGGGTGCTGAGAACTGAATTCATATTTTCTGCAAGAACAGAAGGGACTAAAGACTCTGCCCAGAGCTCAGAGGCTCAGTCCCTGGCATCTCATAAGCAGGGTGTGGTGATGTATGTCTGTAATCCCAGCACTGGGGAGGTTGAGTAATCCCAGCATTGGGAGGTTGAGGCAGGAGGATCAGAAATCTCAAGCCATTACCAGTTAGTGTTCAGGGCCAGTATAGGCTACGTGAGTCCTTGTCTAAAAAAAGCCAACATGCCCCAAGTCTAAAGAGCAAGTTTTAGTGTTCATAATTAAACAAGTTTGATGCACCTGAGGTGCCATCATTGTTTTGCAAAGGGTAGCCTTCCCGACCGTGGGTGGGTCTGAGTAGCTGTCCTAGAGGCCAGACTTGGTCCTCAAAGCTTAACACCTTAACTCTTCATTCCTTTCTGCTCAGTGAATCACCCCAGCTCATGGGACCTTTTCCTCAGGGCCACTCACAGGGTTCCTCAGATGCTCCTTCCCACGGTTCACCCAGAGGATGTTCTGTGGCTTCCCTGTGGCTTCTTATTCTATATGTGACATAAGTACCTAGTGCCAAATACTGTGCCTGCGTCACATCTGTCCCAGCTCTTCTAGACACTCAGTATAGCCTAGTGCCATGCTAGCTCTGCAGATGTGGAAACGAAATTTCTTTCCTGAGGTCATGGTTTGGATACAGTGCAGTGGAGCTGAGACTCACCATGCCTATTCCGGGTGTCTGGGGTTCATCTCTGGAGGCTTAAGACAAATTCCCTGTCCATAGCGACTTATGCTAAGGACATCTAAAAACACCATTCCAAGGCCATTGCGTGTTGACAGCAGCTGGAAAAGTGTGGCCACTTTAGCTCTCCCTGGCACAATACCTGGTATAGTCTAAGCCGAAACAATAGTTGGGTTATCCTTCCTGTGGTTGGTGCTCTCTAGAGAGTCACTGAAACCATCTCCTGGCCCCACCCACTGTTGCTATGGCTTCTTAAATACCCAGGTATGTCATGACATGAGGCCTTGAGGACTTGCTTCCTGCCCAGTCCACAGCTTCCGACTCTGGACTGAAAGGATCTTGTACCAGCTGTCCCCACGAGGCCACAAAAGTCCACAGAGGGTGAATTCAGAGCTCAGAATTACAGAGCTGGCTGATGGCCACAGTAAGCAAACCCAGTCTAGGGTGTGAGAGCATGCCCACTGCATCCTCCTGCCTCCCTTGGGGTCTTCCCAGCTAGGTGCCTCAGTCTGGAAGAGATGGAAAACATTCTGAATTCAGTCTGACCTTGGCCCCAGCCTTACCCTATAACTCTACAGAGGCACTCATAAATGTCACACCACACCAGCCCTAGAGAAAGAGCTCTTCTGGCTGGGCCTCCCCCTTTCTGCTTGTGGCTAGAGCCAGACAGAACACAATCTTCCCCTCCTCCCCAAAGGTCACAGCTAGATTCTTCTTCAAAGCCACAAACTGCAATGTTCAAGTACAGACACCATCATGGTCATGTGACTTTGGCTGGGACCCCACTGAGTGAGCACCAAAAACCTTAGCTTGCCTGATACTCTTCCGGTTCTGGGTCTGGCCCTGTTACTTGGAGCTGGGCCTGGCAGAGGCATGTCTGGCTTCTGTAAGCCTCTGAGCTAAGGGTATCTATATGTGCAGGCCCATGTGGGCATGCCTGAGAGTGGTATAGTAATTGTATGGTAGAAAGTGAGATAGAGTCCTAAGTTTGTGTTCTAGGCCACACCCACTGGCTGTGCCACTTCAGGACAATTACTTAAGAGTATCTGGGCTATGTATCCCAGACTCCAAAGTTGGGAGCAATAACCGCACAGTCTGTGTCACAGCCAGGCTGGAAGAGTCTGCAAACCCTCAGACAGTGCTAGCATGTCCTTCCTCAACCACTGTCAGTAACTGCTGGTGACTAAACATGAGGCATGTGCATGACTGGGGGAGGTGTGGATGAATTCACGTGCTATTTTTCCAACCCTACTTTCCCCAGCCCTCAGAGTGGGAGCTGAGTCACTGCTGCTCCTGCCTCACTGCCTCCTCACTCTAGCACAGGAGGACACCATCTACTGGGCTCCCGGGTAGGGCCCTGAGGCAGGCAGCTGACAGGGTACAGGGCTGGACAAAGGGTGGCATCTAGGTTCTCCAACTCCTGGTGACCAGTCTTGGCGAGCAGGCCCTGCTAGGATAGGCCAGCCTGAGACAGCTTTGGATGTGCCTCCCAAATCCATATGCTCAGAGGATTTGGCCACCAGGACACACACAAGCTTTTAAGAGTGACTGTAGCTGTTCAGCCTACGTTTCCTCATTTATACAATGAGGAGCCAAGGTCCCTTACTCATAGGACCAGTGAGAGCTGGACATAGCCCAGAGAAAGAGCCTGGCTATGCCTAACTAGTGGAGAGTTTGCCTGTTTCTTCCCAACTAGAATGTAGCTAAACATCAGCTAGCTCTGAGGGAGTACACACTCCTGATCCGCCAGTCTCTGCCTGTCCCCAACTATTGGGATTAAAGGTATGCACCCCTGTACTCATTCAATCCTGCTTGCATGATGTTACTTACGATGCCTTAGAAAAGAAACTGGAAGAGGAGGAGGAGGAACAGGGAGAAGAAGAAGGAGGAGGAATAGGAGGAGGAAGAAGAAGAGGATGAGGAGGAGGAAGAAGAAGAGGAGGAAGAGGAGGAGGAGGAAGAGGAAGAAGAGGAGGAGGAGGAAGAGGAGGAAGGCAGAGGGATGCTCACCACCTTGGCTTCTCTTTGTAGGCAGGAGGGGTTCTCTACAATGAAGAGAAAGGAACAAGTCAGAGGCAAGACTTCTTCAGAACATCTATCTTAATGGGCACAGCATGGCTAGGGTAGAGGCAGAAGATTGGACCCAGCTCAGGAAGTAGCTGGCCGGAGTAAGGTCCACAGATCAGTCCATCCTACTTTCAGCCACTCCCCCTTCCCCCAGCCATCCTCCAGTTCAGCCTGCGCTGTAGCCCCTCCTCAACCATACTCTACCCTCTGAGACCCAGGCCAGCTCACAGAATCCTAGAGACCACAGGCTTCCTGTATAAAAATCCTGAACTTCAGTCCCCTGGGATAGCCTTGACACTGCCTTCTGGTAGCCAGGTTAGAGTATGTACCTTCTGCACCAAGCTCTAAGCTCCTGGAGAACAAGAAGCTACAGTCTCCAGATCGACTAGAGTCTATTTTAGTGCAGAGCTCTGTACTAGGCCTGTTACCCAAGTCACCCAGAAAAGTGTTGGGGTGGGGTGCGGGGATGGAAACAGGAAGGAACCAGAACCTTACTTTTCCTCTGCACCAGAATGAAGCAGTTCACCAGTCCTAACATCAGCAGACTCAGAGCTGTCACTCCAACGATCAGACCTAGGAAGATGGCAGGGTACTCAGAAACAAAGGTACCAGGATAGCTGGTGCTGAGATCAAGTCCAGCCTTAGGTCCTCAAATTCAGGGTCAAACCAAAGATCGCATGTAGATACAGTGTAGAGCCTTGAGCTTGATGCCATCTTAACCCCAGAGGGAAGCCGGAGACACCAGCAGTCTTGTGAGCCAAATGGGTTCATCAAAACTAGCAACAGAACCTATGCTCATATTCATGCCACCCAAGGATTCCCTATAACAACATCACGTTGTTGGACCTAACTCCTCTATATTTGTATCTGCTCTGAAAGACAGAGACCAGGCTCCCAGTTCTGCCCAAAGGGAGCCTTCTAGAAGCAAGAGAGACAGAGAGGGGGTGGGGGGAGAAAACACATCCCTGTTTATATTTCAATTTATTTTTGTTGTGGATTTAACTCCAAGCTAGTCAAGCACTCTACCAATGGGCTACATCCTCAGCACTCATTAAAAGTACTATTTTGAGACAGGGTCTGACTTAGTTGCCCAGATTGACTTCAAACTCACTCTATAGCCCAAGTTGGCCTTGAACTTGCAATTCTCCTGTCTCGGCCTCCTCAGTAGTTCAGACTGTGCACTTCCAAACCTGCCTGGGTCACTCTTGAGACTGGGGACTTACCAATTGGAAGAGAGATGCCATCCTTGGTACTTTGTTCGATCACGGGGGTTGAACCCAAGGACACAAGGATACTTGAAGTTTGGCTGGACCTTGGCTCTTGATCCAGGGTCTGAGATCTTGTGGCCTCTGGCTGAGATATATAGCGTGTCCTTGAGGTGGTGCTTAGAGTTGGGGACTCAGGCGCACAGACTGCGTCTGAGCTTGCATTTCCAGGAAAAAGAAGGATGCTACAGCTGAGGAAGGAAGATTGTAATCAGGAGACTACAGAAGACAGTGAGCTCATTCCAGGGAGCCAGGCCTGAGGACTAGGATGCCAACAGCCAAGCAACGAGTATGAACCACCTTACCTACACCCCAACTTCCACCCCATGTCACTCTATCCAGTCTTGTCTCTGTGTCAGGCTCCTGATCATATCATCCATGATCTGTCCCAGAATCCATCCCCAGAGAAAAAGAGTAACAAGCTCTCCTATATCCTGGGACCCAGTCACCTGGGTCCTTTAGAAGCCAGGAAGTCAACACTCACATGCGGTGGGGGCTGCACACATCTGTGGATGATGTGGTGTCAGAGAATGTCCCTGGGGCACAGGGAGTACACTTCACATTTCCATTTGAGGCTCCTTGAAGAGAAAATCCAGAGCTTGTCGACAAAATGAACACTTCATGCAGCCAGGTGGGGGGGGGGTCCCTTAGCAGAGGGGCCACAAGGGAGGCCTGTTTATAATTCTCTTCCTTAAAACACACACACACACACACACACACACACACACACACACACACACAAAAACCACACACACGTCTATACACATGCACATGCAATACACACACACACATATGTACACTCATACTCATACATATACATGGACCTGCTCTCCAGGGCTACCTTCCTGTCCTACCTGATTTCCTACCAGCTTAGGACTTGGTGTAACCAGGGGTGTCAAGAGACATGTAATGCACGTGGCAGCCACTGGAGAGTTTCGAGGTAAGGCTTAGAGGTAGGCGCCTGTGACATCTCAGGGATGTTCACATCCTTTCCTCGGGGAGAGGAAGAGGGGTCCTTACTTGAGCTGACCACTCCGAAGCCAGGGGGACACTTGTTCAGCTTCATGCACTGTCGACAGCTGCCAGAATGGGTTTTCAAGGCACAGTAACTGTCAGCTTTGCAAGCACACACTCGGTTCTGTTGTTTAGTGCAGGCATGGATCTCCACTTGGTCTAGAGGAGGGAAGGACAGCCAGGGTTATCTCTACCTCCACTCACCTGTTCTGCCCTTCCTGCCAGAGCTGGTAGGTCCCTCAAGACAGGCCCAGAGCCACCTTGCCTCTTGGGCTGTTGTTGTCTGTACTCTGGACTCCACCACAGAGTGAATATACACATCTGTTCTCCTAGGATCTACATCCTCACCTCCCCACCACCCACCTCAGAGTCCAAATGAAGATTTGCTGGGATCTAGAAGGAAAATGGTATCTGGAAGTGGCCAGACAAGGTGTCACACATCTGTAGTCTCAACACTGGGAAAACTAAGGCAGAAGGATGATTGTAAGTTTAAAGTTAGCCTGGGCCTTATAGAAAGTTCTAGGCCAACCTGGTCAACTTAGCAAAAAAAAACCCCAACTCAAATAAATAAACAAAACAGCCAAGCAGTGGTGGCACACATCTCTAATCCCAGCAATCAGGAGGCAGAGACAGCTGGAGCTTTATGAGTTTGAGGCCAGCCTGGTCTACAGAGCTAGTTCAGTTTCAGGACAGCCAAGACTACACACACACACACACACACACACACACACACACACACACACACAACCCTGTATTATAAAAACAAACAAACAAATAAACAAATGCAACAACAACAAAAAACAAACAAGCAAACAAAACCTGAATTGAAAACTATGTCTGGGAGTGCAGGCCTGTAATCCTAGCTACTCAGGAAGCTGAGGTAGGCAGTTCATGAGTTCAAAGCCATTCTGAGCTATCTAGCAAGATCCTGACTCAAAGGCAAAATAGATCCTGACTACATGCCAGGAAAAATACCTATACACATACAACAAAAATAAATAAATTTCCTTGGCCAGTGGTAGTATATGCCTTTAGTCCTAGCATTTGGGAGGCAGAGTCAGACAGATCTCTGAGTTCAAGGCCAGCCTGGTCTACAAAATGAGTTCTAGGACAGCCAAGGCTACACACAGAAATGCTGTCTTGAAAAATCAAAATAAGTAAGTAAATAAATAATAAATCTTTAATTTCTTAAAAAGGTCTAGGGATTGATGTAGCTCTGTTAAAAATGTTTGCATCAGCTGCATGAAGTCCCAGGATCCAACCACATAAATACATACAAGTGGTAAAGAGCAGTCTCCTGCCACTCACGCCCTGGAAGATGAAAATGACTGGTCCAGGGTAACCCCACCCATCTTACTTGCTGGAGGGCTAGTGACCAGGGAAGATGTTGGGACCACACCACTCAGGACACTCACCAGCACTACAGGAAGAACTGCAGCTCAGGCATGTGCGAAACTGGTTCCAGACCTGGGTGTACATGCTTGCCTCGCAGTCTGCACACACGGTGTCTGAGGTCTTGTTGCAGAAGTGTTTTGCATACTGGCCTGAGGAAGAGAGGACCAGAGGTCTCAGTAGAAGACCTTTGCTAGGAAGCCCCTGGGATCAAGCATGTGTAATGGCCCTAGCCATCGCTCTACCTCTGAACATATCTTCCCTCTGCTCTCTCCAGATAGTTGAAACACCACCACTTGAAAAACCTATTATCAGTCAAGAACACTTTAGGGAGAATTGGCTTGCCAGCTCCTGTCTTCTTGATAATTGGTTAAAATCCTCTATCCCCGTTTATGAAATAGTAATGGCTATAATGGTGTCACATATGGTAGCCTGTCAGGACCAAGGGCATGGGTTTCCTAAGAGCCTGGAAGATGGAAGAGTAACAGGGCAAACCTTTAAGGTGTTTGTTTTCTCTTCTGAACCCAGCTCCTCTTCCCTCTTCCTGCTATTCTAACTTGTAACTTGTAACTTCCTAAACATACAACCTTTCTATTGACTGTGCTAGTCAATAGAAAAGCCACTGTCCTCTGGGGTCTCTCAGTGACTGTGGAGGATGACATGTACATATGCTCCTGTGTTCCTGCCCACTGGGTCTTAAGCACATGACTCAAAGTCTCCAGTAAATAAATCTGTGTTCTTCATGGTGATCTTGCTCATCTCGCTCAACCAAATGTATATCATTATGATGATGATGGTGGTGGTGGTGGCGGTAGGGTGTGTGTGTGTGTGTGTGTGTGTGTGTGTGTGTGTGTGTGTGTGTGTGTGT